CAACCTGCACATATCTGAGAAAATATTCAAAGATATGTGTGAAGTCAACCAACCCGCACTTGGCCAGCGTGGTTGACTATGGCCTAATCACCCTTAACTTAGGGTAGGCTCCGAGCCCTTCGGTGGGGATGTATAGTGAGCTGATGATGATGATGATCGGAAAATATTTCGAGGTACTTCATCAACTTTTTTTTTGTTTCAGTATTTTGAATTCCGTATATGTTTGAAGGAAAATAAGACAAGAGTTGACCAATGTACTAGTATTGAAAAACTTTATCACTTGGCACATGACAGGAATAGATTCAATTACAATGAACCTTAAGTAAGCGAAAGGCATTAGAAGAAGACTTCTTTGAACACGATAGAGTATTATAACTTGTATAAATTACGGATGAAATATGTTTTTGAATTTAAAAAAAAAATTATTTCCTATACTTTTCTATTAGTCAATGATAAATTATTATTTTTAATGCCCCCTAATCAATTTATTTGAAAAACACATGCACGAAAAGAAAAGTTACTTATAAATATAATACCATCGATAATTGTATTGTAAATATAATATTAATACACATCACTAAACTTGCGAACGATTTAGCGACACTAGCGTTAAGCATTATAACATGCCATAATCATAACTCAATTAAATCTTTTATATTTATGTGAACAGTTAAATCAACACACGGCGACACTAAATTAAAGTCAATGTTGGCGCGCAATTTAATTACATTATCTTTAACTGTCTTGTATTCTTGTTGCGGTTGGGTTTTAGAATAGTTTGTGATTTGTTTTTAAAAAAATAATGCTTTTCAACATATGTTTGCCGAAACTTTCAAATTGGCCCGGCTCGCCCGGTGAAATACCACGACCACACAGAAGACAGGTGAAGTGGAAGCAATTCCGCGTGCAGTCTGATTAGTGTGCGTCCCGGAGGTCTAACCACCCTTTTTCTTATAAGGAAAGGATGGAAAGTGGAAGTGGACTTTCTGGATGAGAGGATGCATGGGAAGGGAAAATATTTTCTTTCTGTGCATCCTCCGTCGATTAAAGGTAGGCAACGTATATGCAATTGCGTATGTCTATGGGCAACGGTCACTTCGTTATTTCAGCGATTTCAGGTGGCCGCTCGTTCGTTTGCCACCTTATGAAATAAAAAAAAAACTTTGACAAAATTAAATAGAAAAAGTTCTAATACTATGCCAAAATCCAGCGAGATTCATGCAGCAATTCTTAAGATACCTTTTAACAAACATCAATCCATTCATCTAAACATTTGTATTTATAAAATTATATAGAAAGCAAAGTATGAGTACAAATTAACTGAGTTATAATTATTTAGCTAGAATTTACAAACAAAAATGCCGCAACGACAATTTCATACGTAAATGTATGTTTAAAGAACAAAAATATCAATAATCTATCACTTTCTTCCAACAAACAGACAAACATACATCTAACTATTTATATCGTTCACAGTCTAAAGATCGTCACGACTGAATGCCTAGTGAATTTTGAAATAAACATGTCTTTTATAAATTGCATTCCATATGGCCGGTTCCGTCGCACTGTCGAGAGTTATGGCTTCGTGTTGTATTTGATGAATACTGACTTGTGAGTGTAGACGACTGGTTATTTAAAACTCTTAGTCTCCTCGTACACAACGCAACGTAAATCATCGAATCTAATATTTCATGGTTTCATCATCAGCTCACTTTACGTCCCTACTAAGAGGCAAGTCTAAAACCCCTCTAGCCCTCCTCATCGCCATATGGCCGGGTTACGGGTACGCGTTAGCACTCCTCCGCGACCCAGCCGGCGACCGTCCGCTATCGGACCCACACGTCCGACCACGAGAAGAGGCAAGTCTACCCTAAGTGAGGGATGACTAGGCCATAGTCTTCTTCACACATATCTTTAAATTTCTTCACCGTAAGAACGTTGGATAAATGTACATATGTGAATCTATAATGAGAAGAACCCTGGTTATTTGCAGATTACAAGTCAAGCGTAGCACTCGGCTCGTACACACAACGATGAATCGTCGACACGAGTTGTCTATTCGGTCAGTACAGGCATAGCGACATGTCAACTGTATAATTTTATTGTATAGGTTTAATAAATTGGTCCTGGGTTCGAATCCCCCCATGTAACAATGTGTTTTGAGATTTTCGGTTTACATATGTACATTAATTCCGACGTTCTTACGGTGAAGGAAAACATCGTGATGCAACCCGCACATATCTGAAAAGAAATTCAAAGATATGAAGTCAACCAACCCGCACTTGACCAGCGTCACTAACTTAGTGTAGGCACTGAGTCCCTCAGTGGGGACGTATAGTGAGCTGATGATGATGATAATGAATATAGTTCATATATGTGTATGTCCGTGCGAATTTTAATATTCCACTATCGAGAATTTGCAATTAACAAGGAATTGATTATAACCAATTCAATGCGAAAGTGGACATCGATCTGGTATCTGGTGCCGGCTAATTTCGAGCCTTAATGAATTGATAGCTGCGAATTAATCGGGCGAATACATTTCAATGGATATACCGTATTGTAACACAATTACACTGTGATTCTGTACACTGAAGAGGATTACTGTTAATACGTTACGGATTATATAAAGGTAAATTTATACGTTCCAGCGTTAGAGCGTCGGTGGCTCAGGGGTCAAGCACTTGACTTGCAATCTGCAGGTCCTGGGTTCGAATCCCGCAATGAACCAATGTGTTTTTCGATTTCCGATTTACATATGTACATTTATCCGACGTTCTTACGGTGAAGGAAAACATCATGATGCAACCTGCACATATCTGAGAAGAAATTCAAAGATATGTGTGAAGTCAACCAACCCGCACTTGGCCAGCGTGGTTGACTATGGCCTAATCACCCTTAACTTAGGGTAGGCTCCGAGCACCTCGGTGGGGACGTATAGTGAGCTGATGATGAATTTATACGTATACATCTTCAGATGTAAAAAGAGAATTTGTGATATTATAATATAGTAAATAAGAAAAAACATAAGCTTAAAATAGATTTGTGGAGTAACTAGAGTTAATAAGAAATGAGTATATTAGAAGAAGTCTGAAAGTATCACCAGGAATACAAAAAATGAGAAGTAAAAGCTTGACGTGGTATGGGCATGTTATGAGGAGGGAAGAATGCAAGTGGAGAAGGCATGGCAAGCAGAACGTTATGTATGAATGTGGAGGGGGTACACTGGTAGAGATCTTAGAAAGATATGGATGGATTTCGTGAAAGGTGACATGATTAAGAAGGTGGTTACTACGAACATAATGACAGATAAACTGATTTGGAGGACGAAAATCTGGTGCATCAACCCAAAGTAAGTGGAACGAGGTCAGGTAGATGATGATAATCTTAAAAATCCAGTTCAGCTTAAGGACAATGTCTCCCAAACGTAGTAATCCTTGATATAATAAAAAAAACTGTCCCGGCCAAGCTGAAACATATATAATTTTAACTTCAATAGTAATTGTCATAATTTTGTCATTTCACACGGTCGCTTGAATCACTATCCCATGAATAGTAGAAAATTCATCAAATGTACGATGATTTTAGCATATTATGCTGATTTTCATATGCCAAGCTATTCATTCGATAGACTTTATCAATATACCTTGTTCCAATACGAAGCCTAAATATATCCATCTATAGGCAAGCTGCACAATTTAGATTTAAGCTTTAGCGAAAAAAATAGCAAAGTTACATTTAGACTAAATTGCAGTTATCTAACGGTTCTTTCACACTGTTATTCAGTTTTTTATTTAATTTAATGCGTGTTTTGTTCCATTAAGCTAATGCTTCGTTGTTCTTGCATCTAAAATGCATTCATGATACTCGATATGGTAATAAAATTACACAATACTGTGCAGGTATCAAAGATGAAAGTGCACAAAAGTGCTTTTAATAGATATGGCTCAAGTCCAAAGCTTTATATTCTCAACTTTCGAGCTTTTATAGCTATGGACAGTGTGTCAGCACCTGTAAGCGCACATAAAAGGCGAAATTATTTCAATCTCCAGCAACGCGTAGTTTATAAATAGCGTTTCTTGCTGTCTGCGAGATATTAGTTCATGGACATGTTATTTTTTGTTTAATTTATAGTACAACTAACTGACGCCCGTGACTTCGCCCGTCGAATTAAAAAAAAAAACTTAATAAGTAGGCTATGTATTCTTCCAGACTATGTTGTACATTTGTGCCAAATTTCATCAGGTTTCGTTAAGCGGTTCCGGAGATACCTTCAAACAAACATCCATCCATTCTTCCATTTAAACATTTAAATCAGCAATTCTTAGTTTCAAGATGTAAAATAATAATACGTTATTTTTAAAAATGTATTTATTTTTCAATTTATTGTGCTTTTCGTGTTTATAATTTCGACCAACTGGGCCTTTTAAATTTAATGTGTGGCACAACTTTTGATATACAATATCAGTGAAATAATAAAAATAAACATTCACATAATTTTTTTTTGATACAAAACAAAAAACAATTTATAACTCAAAAATGCATAAATACTATTTTATTAACTCAATGTAAACTACATGATACTACAAACTTACAATTATATCGATATTTCTTCTTATGGAATTATTTAATTAAATACGGATGCGAAAATTCAATATATAAAAAAGCTTGACAATGAATTGACATTTTAAGGGAAGATAAAGCAGAACAGTTGAAGAATATTAAATTATTCAAACTTTCGTGAGATATTATACTAAACTGATATATAAACACGGCTAAACACTCACGTATATACGTCCGGTGGCGGCACCGACTAGTTTCGAGCCCATCGGGGGCCCTTCATCAGGATGAGTGAGGATCACAGGGCCCGTCGCTCACTCAAAGTGAGCGACGGGACGCGTCCGCGAAATAATACCAGTACCACTCATCCTGATGAAGGGACCCCGATGGGCACGAAACTAGTCGGTGCCGCCACCGGACGTATATACGTGAGTGTTTAGCCGTGTTTATATATCAGTTTAGGTGAAGAATATTTTCAACCTCAAAACCCTATGAATTAAATTGTAGTACAGTAAAATGATTTTAACAGTTCCCTATTTTAAAATGTCAAAGCAAAAACATATTGCTATCTCAATTGTTTCAAGAAGAATGACAGAGGTAACAACTACGTAAAAATGTAGTCATTTTAGTAAGAGATTTGACATTGTAACACCGACAATAAAGATAAGTGTCCATTGGCCCACACCGCATGCATGGCCCGCAACGAATTTTAGTTTGCTTTGTATGATTTTACGCGCTGCATCCATCATCTGCGCCGCCCGCATCGAAAAACAAAGCAAATTTTGATATAAGTGCGGTGAGTCACGCGGGCCAATGGACATCTTTAACCTATCAATGCTCAGAAATAATATCCTAGAATTCTCTTGTATTGATGATTTACGGAAATTAAGGCAAGATACAATAGCTTATTTTATTTCAAAGAAATCAAATGAAGTTTAATTATAAATATATTATAGTGACAGATAATCCAAATATAGCACCAGAGACAAGAAGATTAGGACACGATATATCTTTTGGGAAGGAGATTTTTTGTGATTCTATTCAATGCATTATCAATACTAGAATGTGATATGATTATAAAATTTAACTTACTAATGTTCCTAATTAATAGTTTCTAACTAAGAATTTTTACACTATCTACAATTTTAACCAAATTACAAGGTTTCATAATTTTATACAACGGAAAGTACCTTAAGTATTATATAATTCAATCATAATTTAGGACTAGTTCCGAATAACTTACTAAGAAAAAACCGCTACGTCTACGTAAGTTTCATGGTCGTAAATTTTGTACAAAAATTATTTATGCAGTTATACATTTAAATACTATTATGTTATTGGCAAGAACAATTTAAAATAAATACAAGATATTTGAAAACTGTCCTACAGAAAATCTCTTTATACAAACATTTAGAAACATACCTACTGGGACTATTGTAGTCCGTATTAACACAGTATAAACAGTTAACTGAATGAGAAAAATGAGGCCGCACTGAATATCATTTTGATTAGGCCACGATACGTAGTACCTAAATGCTTCCAGATTTTTCGGTACATTATAAAGTTTGTCAAATATTAGAACTCTTATAGCACATGATTATCACACAAAGTCAAGAAAGTCACTATCTTGTTCATGACATTGGAATTTCAGCTGATAAACGATGCCTGGACGACGCTCTGGTTCCACACGTTCCACAAGTATTATTGCTGTATCCTGAATCAGATCCGAAGGAAGAATCACCACTGGGAGGTTTGGGTGACGCACGAGGACCTCTCCAACAGGCAATACCAGGAAGTTCTCCACCTGGCCATGCTCCTCCTGCTTGCATTGGTAACGGCCCAGGCGGCCTCGCTCCAACTGTACCAACTTGAGGGTATAATCTTAGTAGTGCATCCAAAAGAACACCTTCATGAAATTCTGAAGGATCTGGTGGATGCATATGACGCGGCAGTCTATGATGACCACGACGTCTTTCCAAAGACTTGGGTCGTCTATCCATTCTTTGTGGTCTTTGACGATGTGGTAATGAATGTGGGACTGTAGGTCTGGAACATGTCCGACAGGGAGCGGCTTCTCCGACAAGACTTAGTTCGTCTTCTGCGAAATGATCGTCGCTATGTATCGAGTCATCCGATCTGTGAGGCAGTTCCTCGTAGAGCGGAGCCCCGCACGCGTCGCCTCCGCAAGAGTTGCCGCCGCGCCACGTGCCTCCACTATCACAGACAAATACTCTGCCCGGACAATTGGATCGCTTCGTTTCCACCATCTGAAAATATTACAGTACATGATTAGATTGATAGTTTTTAGTCAGAAGCAAGAAATACTCATGGAAATTAAGAGATTATGCAAGACAATGGATTTCAATTTAAACAAATTTTCTCGCTTAAAGTATGAATGAAGTTATGTGACATTTAGAGGACTATCGGAAATTATTTTCGTAATAAGGAAAGAGTCGAGCTTCTTTAATAGCATAGAATGAACGAGACTTACTTCCAACTGTGGTTCGATATCAGGTCTATGCGGTAGCGGGGGTCTTCTGGGCATGTCTTGCAAGTCTTCGTACAAGGGCGCTTGTGGAGGCGCTCGTCTCTGCGACCCACCACTCTGCGATGGTGCTGATGATTTTGACGGCAGGAAATTTGTTACTTTCCGCTTATGTCTGTTAAAAGAAAGTGACAAATTAACATTTACTATAAAACAAAGTTATTAAAACCAATTTATCTTTGGTGATACTCAAGGTATTACAGTTGAATCGGTTTCTTGCTTATTGAATTAATATTATAAATGTGAATGTTTGGATAGATGGATGGATGTTTGTTTGAAGGTATCTCTAGAACGGCTGCATGGATCTCATTACAATTTGGCACGGATGTAGAATATAGTTTGTTATAATACTCGTATAAATACGAAAGCTTAGTTGGATGGATGGATATTTGTTTGAAGGTATCTCCGGAACGGCTCAACGGATCTTGATGAGATTTTGCACAGATGTAGAACATAGCCTGGAAGAACTTATAAGCTGCTTATTAAGGTTTTTTTTATTTGATTGAGTAGCAGGCGACACCTACATACCCATAAAAATCTTATCAAAAAATTAAAATATATATAATATTTTTCCCCCAATTTTCTTTAAACGTAAATGATAAAGGGAAGTACAGTTTCTATTATACGTTAAAGATAAACTTGAAATCCATTAAAGTTTAAATTATCGTTACAGGGTTCATGTATTAAAGGGGAAGTTTTATGGATTTTAGAGTCAAAGCCAAGCGGTCTCATGCAAAGTTTTATAACTAGAGGCGAAGACCATTATCATTTATCGCGTCTGTTACATCGGACTTCTTCCAGGCTGCTTTATTTTACAGTGGATTTGCAGAATCTCATTTCCTCGTGTAATTTATTATTTAAGATATTTAATTTCGAATACAATTTGAACAGAGAATAAATTAAACGAAACCGTACGCAAGAGATATTTGAAATGATATTCTCGAAATATTTTAGGACTAGCTGTCGTCCGCGACTCCGTCCGCGCGGGATTACAAAAAGACATTTTAGTAGCCTATGAGTTCTTTTATATGTATGTCCAAATTTTAACGAGATACGCCGTTCAGCCGTTTCAGAGATACATGCAAATAAACATCCATTCATCTAAACATTCGCATTTATAATATTAGTAAGATAATTGAAACATTGAGAAATACGTTTTTAATTCAACAAATCGAAAATTGTTGGTTATAGTTAATTTGTCGTGTCACCGTAAAAATTAAATTACTGTGATTTAAAAAAAAAATCCTAAGTAAAGGTTCTTGTCAAGCTGATAAAACTTTGAATTAAATAATCATGTCGCATCGAACTTAAGCTTGAATGTCATTTGGTACTTTTTATAATTTATTAAGCGATAACCTTTAACCACTGACTTTAACCTTAAACGAGGATAACTAATGTTTCTATGGTAGCAACTTTGACTACTGTGAAGTTAATTTAAAAAAATCTACGAGATTGATTTGCGTACTTATATCTCGTAAGCGCGGGGTATAGTTATGTTATCGTAAAATTAATAATATCTGTCACGAACTAAATGAAAAATATATTTTGTAAGTTGGCATAAACCAAGACATTTTATGTTACAGCAGGAAACTAAATAAGTAAATCTAAGACTTAGCTTATTATAGTTTAGACATTATTAGTTAGAATCCTTTGGTGTGAATGACGTGCTTTCGTAACAAAGTCCAGTGTAAGAATGAATAGTGAGGGGACACAAACGTCGCCATTTTAGTAAGGGTAGTGTTGAGTCAATACACTGTCACATTTTCGGATTTTCAAACAATAATTAGATTTAATATATTGGTTACGGTGTTAAAAAAAATTATCCGTTACTTTACGATGTCGTTCGTCAGATTGTAAATGTACCATGTTAACAGTTTTACGGTGACATCTACATAGAAACACGACCACCCACGGATAGCTCTGCACGACAGCGGTTATATTATACACGCGTCGACGCGTGTTGGTCGCTGCCCGTAAATGGACTCAAAAGCCCATTTATAAACAACTCTTGTTTTAAAGAAAGCTCAGTGTTCCAAACTTTATACGTCAACGCTTAGTCACATGTTTTATGTGAATCTTTTTAGTTAATAAATAATAATAAATGTAATATTTTAAGCAAGCATTATTGGATTGAAAACTGCATTACCAAAAAAAATAATTTTAACCGTTATTCGGTCACCTAAAGGTACAGTCAGGGTACTACGCGGTGTTTCACTTACAATTGCCTTGTTCTTTCCAACGAGACAAAACTTCGCCCCTTCTTACGAAATAACCATTTAGGTAGCAGTGCGTTGTGTACCACTAACCGAACTTTCCTTTTACAAATACATTTAAAAGCTGCGTTTTATTAGTTGTTGTTCTTGCGTCGTCAAAACGTTTAAAGCGCTGTAGCTTTTGATGTGGAATACAGCGATTTTCCCCGATAGTACCGAGCATAATACTTTTTTTTAAAGCTAAGCGTCTTATCACGCCTTGCTACTACAAGTCAGGTAAAACTGTTATGTCTCTTTCCGACAGAGATTCTCTCTCTTTTTCTTAGACCTTTTTCGGTCATTTCCTCATTCCTGAAGGTCACAACGTCCCTTCTTGACCTTCTTGAGAAGATCGAAAGTTGTAACTTTGTGAAGTCCTTTTTTTATAACAGAAGGGGGCAAACGAGCAGCGGCAACACCGAGGTGTTCAACGACGCCCATGGACATGAGCAATACCAGAGGAACCGCAGATGCGTTGCCGGCCTTTGAGATAGTGAAAAGCTCGCTTCTTCTTGCATAACGCCTCTCACCTTTGCAAGGTGAATGGCGTTATGCAATATAGGCTCAAGCGCTGGCTATATTTGGTCCATTGTATAATAAACATTTGAGTCTAGTCATAAAAAATCATATTATGTTATTTCAAGTGTATATTTAAATAAAATTAATTAATTATGCTGGCAAAGAACAAGAATGTGTCGCTGTTTATATATTATATGTTCTCTGTCATGAATGAAATCGCAGGCAGCAACTAGTCTTGTAATATTACTTATTGATTTAGGGATCAATGGTTGAATACCAATGTTATGAACACCGGTCCACGCCCGATTCTTTATCTCATATCTAATTTTTAAAGATAAAACATGCCCATTTCTTACGTAAACAGTAATGTTTCTATCAAAAGTGACTTTAGTGCTTTGTAATAAAAATTAAATTCGTTTGCACCTTCACTTTGTACCGTTGGACGGTGTTTGGTAAAGAAAAAAAGCTTTATATGGCTTGTCGATAAAAATAATGCGATAAATCAGTTGATATACAGACAGACCGGTAACCTTTTATGTAAATAAAATAAATTGCATCTTATTTGAATATCTGATTGTTGTTGATATTTACGTAACAAATGCATAGAGGACAAATAACCGTAGTTAGTAATGGAAGGGTTGATAATTTTAATCTGAAATCGTTGGTTTATTTAATTTGATGGTAAGCTCTAAGAGCTTCGAATTAGTGTTTTTTTTTAATAGTAACGAATAATGATACGTTTAAGTGATAAGGGACAGTTTAGCCCAAAGTAAGATCGGTATTTGGAGTGTTAAAAATGTGTATAATGTAACAAAGTGGAAGTTAATCAAGATTTGAATTATAATATTAATATAAAATAATTCTTATTCATTTATTAACCTTATTTTTAATTACATTTCATATATAAAATAAAAAAAAATTACAAAATATTAACATCAGCTCACTATACGTCCCCACCGAGGGGCTCGGAGCCTACCCTAAGTTAAGGGTGACAAAGTGAGGGTACAAAATATATTATAGTAAAAAAAGAGCACCACCGGCTGCGGAGTCCCATGACTCAAACAACCAGTGGTCAGGGCTGCAGACAGGAACCTTCTCACGATGCGTGCGGTTTCTAGGATAACTGCCTTTTGTATCGTGCCCTTAATCCAACAGTTTACCAATATTAATATTATTATTGGTATTATGTTATTACCAGTGGTCCGTGTCTACGTTCGTGTAGATTTAAGAAAAAACTTAATAAGTAGCCTATGTGTTCTTCCAGACTATGTTCTACATCTATGCAATTTACATCAAGATCCGTTGAGCCGTTCCGGAGATACCTTTAAACAAACATCCATCCATCTAAGCATTCGCATTTATAATAGTAAGATGCTCACCTATGGTGAAATACCATTGCATCATCATAAACAAGTTGGTAATCATCATCATCAGCTCTCTATACGTCCCCACCGAGGGGCTCTGAGTCTACGTAAGTTGGTAATAACATAATATAATTATAAAGTAACATAAAATTACTAAAGGTTTAAAACTCTACAAGTGCAAAAGGTTAAGAGTTTTGCTATTTATTATATCAACTCTTTCATCGTCAAAAATAAAAAATAGAAATAACGCATACAAAAAGTACAGTTAAATCAAACAATTTCGGAGCTAGTGCGTACCAAATTAACATCGACGTTACGTTTTGTCGATAACCACAACGAGGTACTTGTATCATGTTACTCGATAATTAGTGGCACGTCACTAATCAGGGGAGACGTATCATAAGATTGATTGGCGTTCTTAATGACTAAAGTCGACGTATCACGTGTTATAATAAGGTGTGACATTTGACGGTGCTAGATGACGAAGGTACGAATGTGGTGCTGTCAAAAGAATTTTGTAACATTAAAAAATGGACATAACCGGTGCATCCAGAGATCGTAAAAGAACTGATATGGTTAAGACCTGTAAAATGGACTAATTAAACTACCGCTATTGTCTACATATGAATAAAAGTGATGGCTATATGTAAAAAAAAATCATGCATGACGTATTTGCGTTGATGAACGAGACATCAGGTTTTTTTTTAAATTCTTGTCTGTCTGTCTTCAAGGCTGTGTTTGTTCTGCGTAATCGCTGGAATGGATGGTCCGATTTTGACAGGACTTGGACTGGAAGGTAACTGATGCAGGCGAGCATATTATAGGCTTTTTACGCCGACAATGAAGTCGCATGAAACGTTCGTATGCTAGTTAGAAAACTCAAATTTGTACTATCATTTTAGGGTTAACTGCCAATTTCAATATAAATAAGATTACACTATTCGTTTTAAAGGTATCAGAGGTCAAGCACATGACTTGCA